ACCTGAATGTTTCTTTTGCACTCTTCACATGCTCCCCAAAAGGTTGTCTTACTCCAGTGTTTTGGGACAGATAGATTGAGAGCACAGTTATTTATAGAACATACAAAATGTGTAGTGCTTTATGTTTTAAGAATAATTTCTATCACAACATCCTCATGCTTCTTTACCCACAGGAGAGACTAAATACTGACATTGCCCTTTCTCCCTCTACTCTGTGCAGCCACAGAGATATTTATAGTTCAGGAACCGGGCTACCTCACCGACATGGATGATCAGGAATTGGAGCCCGTCTTGGTCACCATAGCAGCAGGCAGCCAGTGACATCAGAAGCCTGACATTGGTCAGTGCTGCTATGCTGAAGGAAACCAGAAGCTGATATAAAGAAAACATTATATAAAATGCTTTTTATTCCTTTTGAAGGCACTTGGGAATGATTTCTGAAAGAAGTAGCTGAATCCCTGCAACAATTTTTAAACCTTCAGCTTGTATTAATAAAATTTATATTAGAAAAAAGATAATTAAAAAATAATGTAGAGTAATAAGAATGCAGATGTGAATATATATATACACTAGAGGCCCAGTCCATGAAATTCGTGCACTGGGGGAGGGGGGTTGTCCCTCAGCCCATCCTGCACCCTCTCCAATCTGGAACCCCTCGGGGGATGACCAACTGCCGGTTTAGGCCCAATCCCACAGGGCAGTCGGACATCCCTCTCACAATCTGGGACTGCTGGCTCCCAACCTCTCACCTGCCTGATTGCCCCAACTGCTTCTTCCTGTCAGCCTGATCACCCCCTAACCACTCCTCTGCCAGCCTGATTGACACTTAACTGCTCCCCTGCTGGCCTGGTCCCCCACAACTGTCCTCCCTCCCCTGCAGGCCTGGTCCCCCCAACTGCCCTCCCCTGCAGGCCTGGTCACGCCCAACTGCCCTCCCCTGCTGGCCTGGTTGCCCCCAACTACCCTCCCCTGCTGGCCCGATCGCTCACAACTACCTTCCCCTGCCATCTTGTGGTGGCCATCTTATGCCCACATGGGGGCAGCCATCTTGTGTGGGGGCATGATGGTCAGTTTGCATATTACCTCTTTATTATATAGGATATACATATATCATATATATTACATCATATCCTATCTAATAAAAGAGAAACATGGTAATTAGCGTACAACTGCTACCCTTCCCATTGGCT